TATATATATATATATATATATATATATATATGTAGCATTACAGTGGCGATATCGATGCATAAGTTGTTCTTGGATCTATTTTTTATCTTTCGTATATCCAGCTCTGTCGTGAGTGCTTTCCATGATCTCATTTCCTATTGTAATTTACTTTGACGTCGATCTCTATTTAGTTTTGTCACATTACATATTTACTTGTACTTATTACTATTGTTGTGCCAATCAGTCCGCTATAAAAATGTTTGTGCTTCAACCTGTATAATCCAGTTTGGCCAACTATAGAAATATGTAGCTAAATGTTTAGTTGGAAGTGAAACATGCTATGCTACCTGAAACTGGAAGAACTTACATCAGTCAGTTTTAGTAATTAAAATTTCAGTCAGTTTTAGTAAAACCTTTGTTTATTATGCCGCGCCTATTACTACCAGTACGATCCTCCCTCATCAGGTGGTTGTAGTGCTCTTCGAACTGTGCAAGGCAAAATTAACTATCCCCTTGTTTTGCTGTCGAATCCCGCTGAATAATACCGGTTTTTCAGTGCGCGGACTAGGTGTTAGTCTGCGACCTTACGTAACTTCAGTATTTCGAAAACAAGAATGTAAGGAATGTACAATATCTCTTCGTCAATTCGAATGCTGCATCCACAAATACTGTCCAATTCTTCTCATGCACTACCCATTGCGATAAAATTTATATGATTGGCAACGTCATTCCGAACATTAATACTTTAATTCTCAATATGCTTTTAGAAAGTATGTCAACAGCGAACCAAAATAGATAAAGGAAGAAACAATAACGAATTATCAAATAAAAGAAGACGATATGGCGCATCTCAGTAGGTAACTCAAAAGTAGCTATTATGCTAATTGAGCAAACTAACTTCTGAATCTCTCAATTTCCAGATATTTCAAAGACTTCTTACTCTTTTTAAATTTTACATATAAATGTGTACAGCTTCTCGATTCATAATCTGCGGGTCATCTATTTAAGAAGAGAAAATTTCCAGTCAGAAATGACTGCAGACATCTTTCCACATTGCCCAGATTTAAATGGAAAGACAATGACGCCCATCGATGAGCAACTTAGACCAAACTGATGCAACCTTAAATAATTTAGTTCGAATTTGGCAATGTTGGCTTGATGGTAGTTCCACGCCGTATCGTCCCCCAACCAATCAAACGCCAGTGTTTCTCAATACGCCGTGAAAGTGCTATTTTTTCGTTCACTTCAGTGCAGATCGGATCGGTTAAAGCGATTTTTGCCGCATCACCTGCAAACACTCGAAATAAGATCCGTATTCACAAAGCTGTCAAGTTACCAAAAATTAAGGAGAATTTCAGACTTTTAAGAAGCATTATTATGAATAATATAAGTTCATGAACAAAGAAAAACAGAAAAAAGTAATTATGAAAACCTTTCACAGCAATGACACGACCGCCGGTTGATAATGATCCAATATTAACCATCAGTACTTCACCCTTACTCAGTTTCTGCACCTTTGCAGCTTTCTTGCCACCTTCGGTACGTACACCAAGTAACCTTCGCAACAGAAAATATGCGATTTCTATTTCCGTGAATATATCTGGCAGTGTTCCTACCGCACCCAGAATATGACCCACTAACCGGTCACCGCGACACAATGTTGGATCAATTTTGGTCCCAACGCCAATTAAACCTGGAAATACGGCTAATTAGAACCTGTGCTTTAAATCTGGAAATTGAGAATTTCCTATTCAAATTTCAAAACTCCTACCTAGTAAAATTTGAGTTAAAACTACTAAAAAATACCCAGATCGAACTATTTTGTAGATTTTTAGTTAACAAATATTGATTTGCCGCTTACATTTCCCATTTTCAAAGAAGTTTATGTACAAGCGGAAACAAAAAGATCGTAGATGTTCCTCGCTACAAATCATTTCAATTACAGTCCAAAAAATTTTAACAGTTTGATGGAAACAAACCACCAGGTACAGCATATTGCAATTGATTTTGTTCAGCAAATAATGATACGACACGTGAAAATATAGGCCTGCACTGCACTTTACCATCAGTTGATTTTGAAACAATACCCGGTCTCACCTCAATTTCTTGTCCGATACGTAGGATTCCTAAAAATAATTTATAAATACCCTGGTATTATATGGAGCACTACTATAACATAAAGCAAATGGTTCCTTTACACATTCAAAATGATTCAACATTACGCAAGTTTAGTTGGTAGCAATGCTCTACTTCTATTTGAATTATTAAAAGCACGTTCGATTATAAATTTGAGCTAAAGCACTATTAACAACGAAAAGCAATGCATTACGCTCCAAAGTTTTGGACTTAGCAACCAAATGTTTAAGCAGTATTCTTCTAAAAATTAACATTCGAAAATCACCAACTGATCATAATAAATTTGCCATATTCAATGTCATTCAGACTCTTAAAAGATCAAGGTGAAAAATAAAACACCTCGTAAAATGGATCCACCGGCTACACCACCTTTGAGATTTTCAACTTCAGAACCCGGTTTATTCACATCAAATGAACGTATAACAATCAATCGAGCAGCAGACGAGAAATCTCGTAGAGGCACGGGTACTTTTTTGCAAATATACTCACAAACGACCTTAACATCATAAGAAAATATGCAATAATTTTCCCGTTTAGCAAGTATTTTCAAAAGGATCAAACAAAAAACTTCAAATAATTTAGGCAAAATCAGGAAATAAATTCTAAAATGAAATACAAACGTCGACGTTGTATTTTAGCTGAGCCGATATTGGAATAATTGGTGCACCGTCTGCTACGGTACCTTGAACAAAACTGCGTATATGTTCATACTGTTCTCTTGCCTGACTCTCCTTTAAAAAAATAAAAAGTGTAGTTTTAGGACCATAAGGAATGGGAAGTTAATTTTTTTTTCGAAAAAATTCCAAGGAAACGACATGCACCTTAATAATATCTATTTTATTTTGTAAGATCAATAAATGATTAAGCTGCATAATTTCCACCGCAGCCAAATGCTCTGAAGTCTGCGGCTGCGGACAAGATTCGTTTCCCGCAATTAAAAGTAGGGCAGCGTCCATAACAGCTGCTCCGTTCAACATTGTTGCCATTAGAATATCATGGCCAGGACAATCCACGAATGACACATGTCGGACGCATTTAAATTCACCTCCACAACCGGGTCTTTCACATGGGAATAGATCAGGAGTGCTTGAACCTGCTGACCTAAAATTATACAAGACATTAAAATGTTGAAAGTGATGCAATGACTAAATCCTCGTTCGTATAATTCATAGAAGCTGTTATGATCACTGAAGAGAGTCACACGAGATTATCCAATTTTGTTGGCCAAATCACTGAATACAATATATCGCATAAAATGAAAAATTCCGACAATTTCACTTGCAACTAAGTGTAACTGTAGTAAAATGTAATGTAAAATCACTTCATCATTAATTTGTTGGAATAATCCTTACAGACAGTGATACGAAATCGTGTGATTTGAAGAAACAAAAATTATCAATAAAGAAAGTAAACGTCAAACCCATAACTTTAAATTAGAAACTAGATATGTCCTAATTAAACGGATAAAACACCTGTAGCAATTCGGTCTTGGACAGGATTCATTTGTACAGCGATAAATTTTTGCATTGGCATATCCTAATTTGATAGTAATATTTCGTTCCAGCTCGTTCTTAAATTTAACTGTATGCACACCAGAAATAGCTTTTACTAAAGTGGATTTACCATGCGCCACATGTCCTATCGTTCCAATATTGATTGTTGCCTGTCGGCTGATTACCTGGAAATAGGAAAAAGTACTATTCTCCATGGAAATCTTTGAAAATCTTAACAGGAATCAGGAACTGAAAGCGACCACAAATAAACGGACTTCTTCTGTTAGTGGTGTCAGCATGTCTGGATCCAGCTTGCTGAGATCCTGTTTGGCCAGCCATTCTCTTTGTTCAACACCTTTTTTTGGTTCCCTATTTTCAGCTTCTTCTGAAATTTGCACTTAATAATTAGTTTGAAACAGCAAATTTCCAGTATACTTTGAATAATAGAAAACAAACCTATTTTATCATCCATACTTGAAACAAGTCCAAATTTCCTGTAATGCCCACGTAAAGGATTGAAAAACCAGTTGCGGTAATAAAAGAGTTAACGCAATGACAATTCAAACAACGACAATTCTGAAAACAGGACCACTTATCATTGATTAGAGGGACTTTCTTTATAATTGCTTCCTAGAATCCCACTTAATACTTTTCCAAAACTCAGTTTTCCATTTTTTTCAAATTTCTTTCAAACTCCTTTAAATATAAAAATAAAATAATTTTGGATTTATAAATCCGAAACTTTGTAAGTTGCATAAGCTTAATTTATTAAGCAAATTATAGCGTCAACCGGAAGATCAAAGAAGATCGAGATAGGAATTCACAGATAAGAAAATATAAGTAAATGGCTGAATCACCGACAAAGTGAAGGCAGAAGTTGATACTCAGGTTTTCCCTATTGCAAGTTTACTAGAAGAAGTCATTCCTTATCAGAACGACTAGAACAAACAACGGATGAAACCTCTTTATCACCCACCACCAAACCACTCTTGTACACCAATTATCCCACCAACACCCAACAGGCTGACGCAACTCTCGCGCAAGAGAGCTGCATTACGCTGCAAATTACCGTCATAGCAGCACAATTATGGGTGAAATCGCATGATTCTTTCATGGGTGAGAAACGGATAGATGGGGTCGTTTCTGTATTTAATGGAAACGGGGAGGGTGGGGAGGGGGAAGAGGTTGTAAACACGCGGTTTGGGTATTGGATACATTACTTGGCATATTGCTTGCAGATGGGGCTTGCTGCATGACATGCAACGTATAAGCGGGGTGCCTTTTTTATCAGAATTAACTCATTGATTTCCAACACGTTATGAAGTAGTTTCATGATTAATATGTCTTACAGTATCTACATCAATAAGAGTTAGTGGTAATGCGGACATAATTGTGAAGAGAATGCTTCACCAGATAGTGCCACAACTATCAGTCTTTTAATGATTTATTGTAAAAGGTAAGTTGTTCATCAGTGTGCTAAGAGAATTACAGAAAAATTGACGAGAAGCCTTCTTGAGCAAATGATAATGTAAGGTAAGGGCTAGAAAGGGGAGCATTATGTTGTAACATCCAATGTGAATAATTTGAAATAATTTCCTTCTTTATGAAAATTTGCGCCAGCATTTGATACCAAACTAGCAATTATCTAACACATGGATAAACTGAACAGCACCATGTGGAGTTATGCTACAGTTCTCTCAGCAAGATTTCTTTTTAACCTTCCTGATATTACCCTATTTACTCATTCATGCATGAATGAACTTCTAAAATGTTGGATCGTAATACGTCTTGAAGCGTGATGACATATTACAGTACATCAACATTAGAAGGCTGATGTCTTGGCACATCTTCCAGAGTAATCCATTTGCCACCCATAGCCTCAAAATCTTATTTACCTTAATATTTCTCTCTTATTTTGAATATACAAACATCATTTTTCTTGAAGCATTCATAATACACTCACATATCGATTTTCTTTTTCATATATCAGAATGTGGATGAATTAGTGTGGAGCTTATGGCTGTTCTCTTCCATTCTTTAGCAGCACAGTCATAAGAGGCAGTAGTTTTTGGTAACGCTACCACTTTTTGTCTTTTTTTTGCAGGGATAAATCTCTTGTTTCATTTTGTTACTGCGAATACTAATGGGTTGCAAAGTTTTTCAGTGAAAGAACATGAATCGCCAGCTACTTCATCCTGATGAAGACATATTTTTCACCTTCGCCTTGAATCTTGTTAATAAAGCAGGAACAGTAAGTTCTTGATGCTGTTTAAAAAATGTTGCAATCATACGGATTTGTATATCTCTCGTTTTAATTTTTGTAGCTTGTTCGAACTGCCTTCGAACAGCCATGTTCAGAAGTGCATACGAAAGTGTCGAACATCGATTTGGTGACAGAAACAGATCAGGCGGTTGAAAAAATGTTGATCAAGAATCTTTCGAAAGAATTTCCTGACCATAAGTTAATTTTTGTCAACACTTCTACATAATACCCCAGTTACATAATTTTTTTTGTAATCAAATCTTGGAATTGTAAGCATTTTCAGTGTATCTTCCGAATCTGCTTAAGACTTCTTGACATGTGAATGTCGAGTCTTGCACGATCTGAAAAGTTAATGTTTTAATTTTTCTGCTCATATATGCGACAAATTCTGGATATCTCTTGTAGTAACCACCGATTTGCTTCAAGTATAGACGTTTAGATAACTGCTGTAAAGTGTATCGCTACAGGTTTATTGGTGAAGAGTCTGTGGCAAGTGGTGCGAAAATTGATTATACCGATGCACCCACCTGGATTATTGATCCAATCGATGGCACCACAAACTTCGTGCACAGGTATTTTATATTATGGAAATTCTAGTGAGCTAATTTCCATTTTCTGCATCTGATTTCTCTTGTTCATTTTAAAGTTTCGGTATTTTAAAAGTCTAACAGAGCGCAGAATCTTAATCCTGACATTAATTTCACTAGCTTTGAAATTGCAGAATTCCAATTATTGCCATATGTGTAGGACTGGCTATTAAGAAGCAGTTGCGTGCCGGTATTGTTTATAATCCAATTACTAAAGAGCTTTATACTGCACAGTCAGGACGAGGAGCTTTTCGAAATGGTTTTCCAATTCATGTTTCTGCTACCAAAGGTACTAACTAAACATTTGCAGTGGGAAAGTTTTTTACAAAAAATTTCGTGCCGGACTCGGTTTTCTAGTATCAATCTGTCTTGCTGGTTATAAATTGTCTTTTCTGCAGAAATAAGTCAATGCCTACTTGGTCAGTCACATGGAATTCATAATTTGGCTGAATTTGGTGAAAAATGGTTGAAAATCACGTCAGATAACCATAGTCGGCAATGTCTTGCAGGCATACGAGGGTAGCTTTTACATGTCTGTTTATAATTGAATAAAACACATCAAGGTTTTCTTTTTATGAACGTCACGTTTAATGACATATTGTTTAAGTTGTCGATTTAATATCTTTAGTAGGGTTATGTAGAATTTCACGTTTTAGTTCTAATATTAGTATTTTCTGGACTCATTTGCAAGCAGCTATGCTTTAATTGTCAAGAAGGATAATTTCCATAATCTCCAAGATCAGATGGCAGTATTACTTTCTATATCATTTTGTTTTAAACTTAGTATTCCCCAACCTTTTCTTGACCAAGAACCACTTTGGTTTTATTACTTGTAGCAGAGACTACAAGGTTCGAGAATAATAAATTCTCTTAATCGAAAATAGATTTCAGTCAAGGATTCTAACGTATTAGTTTGTCAAACATTAATAAGAATAGTTGTTGCCTTTTTTCTACCAACTCCACCGCATCCCTCATGGATTATACATTCTCGCGGATCATGGTTTAAACCAGTTTGTTTGTTCCTTTTGTAGAGCCAATTCCTAACCTTCGTATAGATAGAACAGCCTCTTGTTGTTCATTTAATCACTACTATGTCTGAAATGTTGATTTCGGAATCTACAACCGTTGTTTTAATCTGAATACAGAATTTAAAAAATAACTTGATTTGTTATATTTACAAATGTTCTCTTGATTTAGACATCGTTCATTCGGCTCTGCAGCTATGAATATGGTCTATGTAGCTCAAGGTGGACTGGATGCGTATATTGAGTATGGTCTCCACGCATGGGACATGGCCGCTGCTGGGATCATTGTTAAAGAAGCCGGTGGTGTGTTATTAGATCCAACAGGTAAATAATTTTCAGAGAAAATATTTTTGTTCTATGAGACATCTGTTTTTCCAGAGCTAAGTTTGATTGTGATGCTACCTAACTTAGAAATTATTCATTCATTTGCTGGATATTCTCCTGTTTTTCCGAACGCTATGTAAGGCTTAGAAAATGGGAATTGTTTCATTTTTTTAAAAAAAATTTGAAAACATTTCATTTTTTTAAAAAAAATTTGAAAACATTGTCGATTCTGAGATTTTGGTATCTTCTCCACTGTTGAAAAACTAATCGTTTGGCTTAATTCCTATATACGCGATTTGTTTGGTAAATAGTTTAAGCTGTCAAGGATTGCAGGGGGCGAATTTGACATTATGAGCCGTCGAATTCTTTGCACCTCAACTCCCGAGCTGGCTAAGGCAATACGATCAACTCTCAGTCATGTTGAGTATGAGAAAGAAGGATGAATTCTAATCGCATCATCTCTTTTTTGTTATTCTTGACGTTACGCATTCGATTATTGCTATCTTGTTTTTAATAAATTAGGATTAGAAATTCATTCCATTCTCTATTATTTTATCTCTAATAATTTTTATTTCCTAGCCCACTAAAAAAGTTTCTTTCCTCATAATATTATGCTGGAAAAATATTTGTTCAGAAAATGTTTTTTCTTTTTATAGCTGTTAGAGCCGTTGTTTCATTTTGCATTATCTATTCAATTCGAAACCTTTATTCTAGACGGATTCGTTAAATTTAGGTTAATTATCGCTGCAATTAAGTATCTATAAATGATTTGTCACTGATAAGCATTTGTAATCATTCAGCGATCAAGAGAACTAATTAGAAATTATGACTAGAAAGGTTTTACTTTGGTATTTTCATGTTCAGTTGCTTAGATGTATCATAGATACTTGCACCTATGTTAATCGATGAAATAAAGTAGTAAATAATATCATTACCCCTTAGATCCCTCTTTGGTTGTGACGCCATCCTTATTTCTTTCATTGAAAAAATTTTTTACTTATTTTCATGGATTAGCTTATGTTCTCAAAGATACGTAGAAGGCAAAGAAAACTTGAAGGGTGCTATGCGTTTTTATAAATGTGGCGTTAGTTTTTAGAAAGATTATTGTATGCCATGCAGGATGAAAGTGCTGTTTAGGAGAAAAAATTTTAACGTGTTTCATCATTTTCGGTGTTTTATAAGATAAATAAATTGCTGAATAATGATGAGCGATACGTATCCTGTTGAGGTTAGTTGTATTTCTTTTTCTTTTTTTTTTTTTTTTTTTGAATATCAGGATGCCTTCGATCTTTTTCCCTAAAAACAAACCTTCCATTGATACCAGAGTTTTAATTTCTGGAGCAGATTATTTTATATTTTCATATTAGTGAAGGGGCTTATTCATTTGTGTATTTTAGAATTCTGCGTCTCACCTAGTGCCTCTCAGTCAGGAAGTTCAAACTATTAGCAAAGAGGTTGGTGTATTCAACGATTTTTTTTACTTGTTGCTAATAATCCTGTATTCAAATTTCATTTGTAAAATTCTAGAGAAATTTATTGGGAGTTCTTTTTTCGGATTTTTAAAGAAAATAGAATTCTAATTATATAGTGGGTTGCAGCTAAGTGCATAAAGCACTTCTGATAGTAAATTGACTCATCCTTCTATCTGTGTTCCTTTTGGCTTTCCCCTTCAAATCATTAAATCCAACTGAATCCAATTGGATAATCAGAAATTATTAGAACACGATCAGATTCATCTTAACATGATAATGGCTAATAAAGTGCAAAAATATTTTTTTAGGCTTTGGATAATATAATTGGTAACAGCCCATACTGGCATGTTACAACAAATCAGTGGAGCCAACAGGCTGTAGAAACAATTACCACTAATCTTGTAAAGCTCAACAAGCCTTACAAATATATTGGTGAATACTTCCATCATGTTACTGCTGCCGATTTCTGCCTTTGCATTTTTTCCACTTAACCAGTTGACTTTAAGAAGTTTTTGATTATATTTTTCGTCTGTAGGTTTTTGTTCTGTGTTATTAATCACAGTTTAATTGTCGCTAGTAAAGTGTCATAAGGAAGATGGAGAGTAAAATAAGATTTTTAAAACTTGACTAACATGGATTCCGCACTAACATGGATTTGCTTGTTCTTACTTTTTTTTTTCTAGTAACCTGTGTGATCATGCAGACAAATACTGGAGCAGGTCTCAGCGTATCGAGCACTTGCTACTGGGACAAGGCAACCGACCGTAAATAATTTCGGATTTCTTTTCCGTTACTCTTTTTTATTAGATGAACTGTCATCTTCAACCATTTATTTGTAATGCAAGGATTATTTCATGAAATATGGAATTTCCATAGTCGTGTTTCTCTTTTTGCATTTTTTATAGAGTCATATCATTATGGTTAGTTTCTTCACTTTATGTTGTTTAAAGTAATTTATTTTTGTTTTCAGTGTCATTTACAGTTCGATGGGAAAACAAAGCAGTTGTGACAATTGTTAATGTCTTTGCTGTCGCCATATGATGGAGCCGAATATATCGCAAATGTCATTATAATCAGTGTTCATGATAATTTATATCATTTATAGCTATTGTTTGTGTTATCCGTAAAGCTAAGAACATCGTATTCTCAAATTTTCAACGTTGTTCTATATTTTACGAACTTTTTTTAGTGAAGTAATCTTTTCACTCTTTCCCGTATCCCTTTTTTTCGTTGTTTCGGCGCCTTGTTAAGATGTCCATTTACTTTATTCCTTGCTTTTAAGTAAGTTTCGACTTCATACATATCTTCAACTTCTTTCATCTTACGTTCCATTATTTTGTGGCGTATATTTCAGGATTCTGTATCAAGAAACAGGAATAATTCAAAATTTTTGAATGTGCTGCTTTGTGTGATATGAGGAGCAATATTTCATCTTGTACCAAGTGTGAAAATTTTGCTGCATCTTTGTTAATGGGTGTGGGAACGACATGAACAATAATAAAGTTCTCATAAAGGGAAGTAATAAATATAAAGGAAATTATAAAAGGAAATATAAAGGAAATAAAAAAGGAAAGTCGTTTCAAAAATTACATAGAAAACTATATTGGAGACAATTCGAAGTCAGTTATTAGCGCACACCCATCAGCGGCAAACTGCAAGCATCGTTTGATGTGTCGTGTTAGTGAAGGGATTTGCAGAATGGCAAAACTAAATTTTATACATTTTATAAGGTGATTTAAGGCAGGGTAGTTCATCCTTGTCTTTTTTTGGAATTTCAATCTATTAGTAATCGTTATCCGTTCATGTATGTGATCTGTTCGCTCTGATTAATTCTGCAGAGTGTCTTTACGTACTTGGCAGTTTTAAAAGTATTTTTCATCATCTGTTAAGTTTTTAGCTTCTACGAGCTACTGTTGAGAAGTTTCGAAGTTCTCTGTCTTCATTTCATTGCTCATTTGTTTTTTTTCCGTTATTTGTCATTAGCGTTCGAGCACCAAATTGTCATTTTGAATTAAGAAACAGTAAATTTTTGATAAAAGCGCATTGTTACTTTCACGGATAGTAGCATGTACCATCATATAGCGGAGACACAATATGGTTGTGCAGTATTTTGTTTTGACGGAGGGTATCTAGTGTCAAACAAATTGTAATATGATGTAACAGTTTATTCAATATCACTTGTATGAAAATTTAAAAGGATCGATCTCCAGCAAAGGACCGATTTATGTTGTTATATAAGCTGAAGAAACTTGCATGGAAATCTGGCATCATAATTGTGATTTCTTGTACATAAAGATTATCGGAAGAATCTGTAATATATCCTTAAGTGGAATGTGCTGCTGGTGGCCAGCAATAAACCACATAATAATAGAGACAACTTGATTCATAATATGGCTTTTGTAAATTTTGGGAAATAGTTTTAACTGTTGTGACTGAGTTAAAATATCGAGATTACCAAGCATAGGGATAAGAATTAAAACAAGTCTGGAGTTAATTTTTACAGTAAGGGAATTGCCGTTTTTTTTTACATTGAAAATTTTATAGGAATAAATTCATGCGTTAGGATTAGGGAAATGTACAACGTCAAGCACACGGAAAACAAAACGTGGTAATGGAAGTAATAGGTACAGACGAAAACGTTTCCGGATTCTGGACTACTGCCGATAGAAAATTTAGATCTCTTATATTTATAACCAAATCCATAACCTCTCATCCAGAAACTCATCTGACCGACAACGCAGGTAGGAAGTCCGGAGACTGATGAGTAAGATCGATTTAAAGGCTTTATTGCCCAACAAACTTCGAATCTAATTTCATAAGGTATATGAATTTTATCTGATGATAGGTACTGTCAAAGTAGTGTTTAGTTTCGTGATTTTGAAATGCATGAAACAAAACATTCACGTGCTTCAATCGGCAGTAAAAGTACCCGTCAAAAAAGTAACGAACAAGACAAAAAAGCGACTCTTTGCTTCAATTTTTTGCTTTACGAAAGCCACTGCCTTTTCTCACGAACATATGCACACATTTCTCCGTTGAAAACAGTATCACAGGAAGGCCAAAATATGCAAGAATCACTATCACTCCAACATAACAGTCCAACGGCCGTGAAGAATATTATGGAGCAGATATAGCATGGCCTGAAATAATGATGTTCATGAAAATGCTTGTCAATCAATAGAATGGAGTATTAGGTAAATTATCATATTTTGAATTACTACTGTCCAGAATTGAAATGAATTATTACCGTCCACACCAAGTAGCAGGATCCTTACCAATGCTTTTTTGGTACTTGATATGAATTTCGACGAAATATTCCTATATAGAATAATAAATTCCAGTCCATGATGTATAACGCTGGACAGATTTATAGAAACAATCGAAAAACTTATTTGGAAAAGCAAAAAAAGACATTGTGGTATTAAAGAACTGATACATATATAAGGTTTACGGAAAAGTGAAACAGTTTTACATTGTTTAACTTTGTCGCTTCATATTCAGATGAATTCATAAATAAAAGGTTACATTGCATACATTACAGATGATTTTAAAGCGTCTATTATATCTATAATACATCTACTTAGGGCCCTTCCCAAATATTCGTTTGCAAAGCCTAGATACGAAAAAAAAAATTTTATATTCTATCTTAGAAATAGCTCAAAGCTGATTCTTATAACTACGCAGGAAATTGTCAAAACAGCCAGTCCATGATCAATTGGCATTGAAAACACATTAGAAAGATTGGGAAGATTTATAAACAAGTTTTCACGAAGTGACAAACAATCAGAAAAAAATATCGTTCTGAAATACTGTCTTCCCTTGCTACAATACAACACACTCATTCCATCATTTCTCAACTACAATGAGATATAAACGTGAGTTGTATTAAATAAAAGTAGACGATAAGTTGCTAATTGAGTAGAGGAGCTGCAAAACATTTCCCAAAGTCGGACTTCCAGCATGACAAGGTAATGGTCAGTGTTGATCTACTGCCACTGTAAATCTCGACGAATCATTACACTTCAGAGATATGCTTAACAAATTAAATACACCAAAAACTGCAACAGATTTCGTCAAAAAAAAGAACCTAATTTTTCTCTGCGATAATGCCTAACCATACTTTAGACAACGCTTCAAAAGTTGGACGGATCAGATTGTGAACCTTTGTCTTATCTGCCATATTTACCTGACCATTTGCCGAAAAGCTACTTCATTCAACCTTAACTTTGCAGAGGAAATGTTTTCACGAGCACTTCGATGCTAGAAATGTTTTTTCTGTTAGGAGCTATCGTCAAGTCCCAAAACACTTTTGGGAAACGCGCGGGAGTTTACATAAGAATAAATAAAATTATTGCTCCCTGACAAAAACCGCGATCTATTAGGTATCCTCCCTGATTTTTCCTATGTTTTGTTGTTCAGATAAATAAAGAGTTGATTAAATGACGGAAGACAAACCTTCTTTCCATAAAAAATCCGATAACATAAAACCACATGAAGAGAGCTTGATCAATGATAAATGTTGGATGAAGCCAATGCTTGGGTATAAGCAGTACGGGAATTAGCCATTGCAAACAATACATTTTCCGCACTCTCTGAAATCGCCTGTATTAAGCAAATTTCAAAAGAAATTGGAAACCATGACAATCCGAAGATACCTCTTGTATCCTAGCTCACTACCACCACACCATTTCATTATTCAGCTCAGAAGGCTAAATGCTCTCCACGGACCCAAGAAGCTAAAATTATCCATCTGTCAAAATATTTTTTTGAAATGTTAAGTAGTTATGACTCTATCTTATGGTAGCTGATACAAACAGAGAGACTTGATGACAGCTTTATACCCTAATTAGATGACAACGGAGTATGACTTGAAATATTACGTCATGTAATTTCTTGTCCAGCGCTCATTAAGTAGCCCTCCAACTACCTCGTTCATTAACCTTTGCTGAACAAGACGGGAACCGTTCTGTTATCCTGGAATTGAAATTATGCTCTGCCCCACAAATACATTCCTCACGAAATTAGTGTCAGGGACGAGGCGGGACTTCAAATTTCTAATTTCTTTGTTGAGTAGTTCGGTTTACCGCAATGTTTCGAGAATTAACTCATTTGAAAAGAATCATAATCACTTCTTGTCACTCATCTTTTACACTTATTTTCCTGCTTCATCAAATGTTTAATTTCTGAAAGATACATTCATTTCATTTCTCATTTCCCTTTCTATAATCGGATGTGGACGGATTACGCCGGATGAAATTGTCTGGTGTTATTTGTAATTAACCGGCTTTGTTAATAATTGATTAGGGAAACATTTTAAAACAACAAGGTATTTATTTGAATGTTTATCCACAAGAATAGCTTGCCTTTCTTTCCGGCTGTATGTCGTGCTGGCATTTGCTGACATACAGTATATTAGAAAAGGATAAAAAAATGGAATACAGATAACCGAAAGTGTTTTCAGGTGTTGACTTATCTTGATTTATTTCATACTTTTTCAATATCCAGTCTTCTTTTCATGGCGATGTCTCATTGTGCGAAGTTTTTGTTAGACATTCAAGGTTTTTAATGAGCCTGAATACTGATTTAGCCAAGAATAGGCTAACTTTATTTCAAGTTGAATTGAAATTTGTGAGGATTACTTGGAATGGTGTTTTGAAAATAATGTTCTATGCAAATTAAATTCAAGAAGTAGTATTTCATAAAGTTCTCGTAAAAATTTAGCAAATAAAAGCCAAAGCAGATAGCATTTCCAAAATATCTGTGCCACAATTCATTTGTTGTTTGAATCTATCGAATCCGATTTTTAGATTAACTGTAGTTCTTTATGAATTGCTTGCTGAGTGTTATGATTCACTGCTTCCTGTCTGTTTTCTTCAAATGATTGCTATTTTACTCATTATTGCATGTCAAGTCACAAAAGTTTGACAAATATGTAATTTCAAGGAGCAGTCTAATAGCTACCACCGAGAAATCTTGGAAGAAGGAACGAGATAGATGGAGAAGTGATGTAGGATATTTAGGCTATAGAAGATAACAGATAATTGGGAAATAATTCATGAATGTTTTGGTGGTTGGGAAGAAGGAGAGAAATTCTACTGCTCTGTTTGGATGATACATCTGAAGGCATTATTTATTATAATATCAACATGTGTTATAATAAATTTCCGGTATCATTCGGGCTTATATTTTTGTGCTCAGCCTTTTATTTATTAAGGGGTAGTAAATAATGAATGATCTTTTTCACTGCGACCTTTACACTTATCTTCAAAAGATAGAAGACTATGCTGAGAGGACAGGGTAGCGTATATTCTTGAGCCTAGAAGATGAAATCGATCATCTCATATAAACGATTCGTGCTATATTTGATTCTTAATTACGCCAGTAATACTCACCCACTTCCTGACAATACCTTGTTGCTTTGCACTGTCGCCGGTTGATTGTCTGGTAATGTCGCGCTAATAGTCGTGCAATTTTGGCATGCAAACTGAAATCTTAGTAAGTAATTTGTAGTTTACATGTAAAGAAACATTGCGGGTTTAATTTTAGACATATGATTAGCTATTAAAGAGTGCAAAATATATTGCAGGATACTTGTTTGCTATCCATAGCGCTACAAATTAGGTTTACATATAATGCTTGAACCTGAACAGTAGCTAATTCTGTTAGTTTCAGAAGAATACAGAAGGTAGGCTATTTCTGCAATTTAACTATTTTTAAGCAAATTCTATTTTGTAAAACAGGCTGTAATTGGTTATTAAGGTCTAGCGAGTATCGAAACATGAATCCTCTCTGTTCTCATAGAAAGTTTATCCGTAAAAACTTATAAAACCCAATACATTTTCTATCGATTGATGGAAATCTGATATGTTTATCACAGAGACTTCGAAGAGCTTCCAAAAGGATTGCGTCGATTAGTATTGGCCAACAAAATTCGAAGAAGTTACTACCATCTTGATCAGTGGTTCATAATTTCTAAAGTTTAAAGTCTATAAATTTTACTCGATACATAATCACAATTCGGTAACATCGGTTTTGACGTTTGGGAATCTTTAGTTGTTGAGGGAATACCTTGTTTTTAAAAATTAGAAGCCAAGACGATAAACTCAGCCTGTTCAGTAGTTCCCTTTGTGTTTCACCAACAATTTTTAGAGTCGGTAAAATATATGTATGTAAAAACCAGCCAACAGGTAAATCAACTTTGAAAGTGAGCGAAACTAACAAATCGAGCCTTTACTGAATGGCATGCTGCTGCTTAAATTTGCTTGGAATTACTAAAATACTTTCTAACTGCTTGGATTTTATAGATCTAATTTTGCTAGACAACGTTAGATAAGCAAAAATTTTATTCCAGATGGTTAAGTCTTGTGAATTATTTTTTAAATTATTTGCATCATTCCATCAAAAGATGCTCGAGAAATATCTCAAAACTAAGCCTAAGGAATGTAGAATTCAAAAATAACATATGTACATAGAACTGCATTCATTTAGTTCTTATATTTTATTTTGAAAGCAAGCCAGTAATGCAGACAAAGTATCATGGAACTCGGTTCTATGGAATAAATATTCTTTTGTAGTATGGAGTTATTGATTGAGATTATTATTAAGAGTAAGTTTTATTTTTATTTCTAATTTCATTCCTAAGGAATAGAAAACAATTTTGGCATCTTGCTGTGAGAGCACTTGTCAAAAAAGCTGAGTGCAGTGAAATAAGATTAATGCAATTTGATTTTATTAAGCATACTCAACTGCCTTATTTACCAACCTTTGCTGCATCCTTCTTCATCTTTTTTTGTTGAATTCTGAAGAAAATGCTAAGCATAAAATTATTAAAACAAATGGTAGAAAAGAAAAATTAAAAATGATATCGAGAAAGTTGAAAACAGAAAATTAAATGAGCATAGGGTGGGAAGAAAAGAGCAATGAAAATAATATAACGAGAGAAAAATCACTGAAGTCAATATTTTGAGGGCCGATAAAATCAAATGTAATTCACCGAAAATTGAAAAAAAAGGAATGAAACTCAAACTGATGCAAAATCTGTTAAATTTGAAAACAATGTCTCCTTTGGCGGTAAAATAAATGAAGTTTTGATTAGTGATGATGGAAGCTTGCAAGATTCGATGACTGTCTTATGAGCAAAAAAACATTTCGACTGGCAATAAATCTAAAACCAAATATTTGACCAAATATTTAATCATTCGATGCTTATTCAACCAGATTTCAAAAGACTAGCATTTTATGGGTAAATGGAGCTCAGCCATAAAATACTAACCCTTTGAGTGTGAAAACCTAAAATTAGATTTTCAAATTTGGAAGCTTTAAGAATTTAAAACTTAATCAGCAACACATCGGAAGTTATAGTTCTGGGAGATAAATCAAAGTTTCCATCATTATTGCGTTAAAGGTTTTGCTTTATTCCAGTAAAAACCTTGAAAATGAAATCTCGGTAGCCAATATACCTAAAATTGAACCTTCTATTGGCAAAAACATGAAAATAGTAAAGTTTTAATTAGAACGTTTGAGCATACGACTTTAACTACCGAGTTAGTAATTGAAGTAACCATTGTTGACAGCCAAAATTAGAGTTTCTCGTAATGATACTGGAATTCCATTTTCAACTGGCAGTTTATTTAAAAGTACGGTTGCATTTAATAGATCCGAAACTGAACCTTTAAACAAGAATGCAACTGGAAATAAGATTTCAGCTAACGCTAAAACGGAGAACGAAATTGCTATTGCCAATTTTCCTAAATCACTATGTTCTTCGATCAGTACAACAATTGAAGTAACAAATTCGAAGGGTAATTGGTCTAAAACTTATGGGTCGTGTCGTTCATAAGTTCAGAAATGAAACATTAATTAACAGTAAATTCAAAAACGTCTCTGATAGAGGTGCTTCAACAATCAATAAAAATGAAATTTTGTTGGTAAGCTCTAAATTAGGAGTTTTAGCTACGACAAGTCCAAAACTGATACTTTGACTATCAATAAGCTTGATTTCGCATGATGGAATGTTTGAAGAGATTCAATGAATTGCTGTAAATCTGAAATAAAAATCTCGACGAGTAGATTTTCTCAAATTGGAGTTTTTTTAAAGGATGATAATAATCTGGAAGCTAGAGATTCTGCTGTTGCTATTTGCAAAAATATTTTGTTTGGACAATTCTGATACTGAAGATTTATCTAAAACTGATATTTCGATCGATTACAAATCTGACAATAGAATTTGAACCATTATCTGCAGTTAGTTGTTTCCTGAAAATGCTACACATTAAGTAAGTTCAAGCTCAGTTCGGTGTTTCAAGAATCAAGTTCTTTATAATTTGAATAATTAGACTTAAGATTATGCCTAAGTTCATTGATGGTACCCGAGGGTGACGGAGGTGATTACTGAATGGTATAGCGATTGTTTTTTAATGCAAGTAGAAAGCATTTATCCTGCAACTCAAACTACTTTATGAGGACTTTACTTCAGTTTTATTTTATAGATTCCATTGATCTTATAAACAGATCGCCTATAATAGTTTAACCTAAACTATGATTTAACTTAGTTCTAGGTTTTTCTCAACCAGCTTAAAAGAAAATCAAAAAATCTAGAATTAAAATGAATGTAGAAAACAAAACTTACTTTTCCCGCATTTTTTATTCTTTACTCATTTCCTTTCAATTTAATTTCAATACTTTATTATTGTACTCTGTTAAAAACACTGGGATAGATGTTTTCAAAAATTGAATATTAATGAGATCAGATATCCCAAATCACCATTGTTAAAATAAATTCGTTCTAATCTATTCTAAAATTTTTTTTGGCTATGTTTGAGAAGTGTAGAAATATGATAAAGCACATTTCCAAAAGCTGAATTATAAAAATTCAAATAGCAATAGAAGTGAAGCACAAACATTCCGATAACCATATTTCAGATTATTACCAGTGATGAAGTTTTCAAATCCTTGAAATTATTCCTATTCAGTACTCAGACTTCTTAGTAGTAGAGGTCGGTTCCCTACGAAATATTTTATAAAAAACAATTGCATAGAGTTGAATAGTAACGAAAAACTGTGGATTTCTCATTACTTTCTCTCGAAAAATTCATCTTATTCTAAACGAGATAGAATCTAACCTACTAATTCCTCCAAGATAATTATGCTAAAGCGTAATCAATATTATAACAATAACGTATGATTTTGTTGTAAAAGTCTTCTGATATTTCTCTAATGTTAATATTTGAGTTTTATGAACAATTGAGCAAGGAATTTTGTGATCCTCAACAGTCTTTTAGAAGTAGCAAATAATGTCAAACAACATCTATCAGGTATCATATTATCAAATGACCTTTGTTGTGACGCGATGCAAGTTGAGAACGGATCTTTATTTTCATAGTTTCTATATATTATGTGGTCAAAAATTTTTTGAGTTGTCAATGTTAGACTTAATGAACGCTGCATGAAGAACAGAAGCAATTTCACAGCCAAAAATTCTAGTTTTAAATTTTATTGGCAAAATTTCTGGAGGAAGACAAGCAAGGCTTATCCCTTTCTCTGCTCAGATGTATCAAACCAGCACTTATCGCAGTCCTGGCATTTCATTAGTTACCAGAAAATTCCTTAAAACCAAAAGATGCTAAATTTCATAATCAATAATCCAACATTTTTGACCTATCTCGGAGCACACCTTAAATTCCAGTTTTTAGAGGAATGTTTAGTACGGGAAAGGGAATTAATCTTTCATTCAGAACAAATTTCCTCAAGTGTTAGAAAGTGTTCAATGACATTAAAGAGTCATAATCTCGATGCAGGTTGCCTGAAAATGACACTCGTTGCAAAGCAACTTTTTAACTTTTTTTTCGTCTCTTTATATGATTGCACCTGAAGGGTACTTGGTTTGGCTCGAAGGATTAAAGTACACTTTCTATTTTAATGTTATAGACGTTTCCCAACATCTAAGAACGAAGACGAATAAAATATCTGACAGAACGGTTATTACTAAAAAAGCGGAAAGGTCCGTAAAGATCATTTGATCTAGTCGGCCCAAACTACATCCAAATTCAAAATCGAAACGCTTCAATGCAATGGAAGTATGGAAAAAATTATCGCCTATCATCTTTCCCGCCATATAACGTTAAAAATAACCAATCGTGCATCAGCCTTCTCCCAAAAAATAATGATGGATAAGTGAGGAGAAACATGAACCACTGCATGCAGCCGAATAACTGGCACACAATTCGACAGCATCCTCCGAGTTTTTTCTCCGAAAATTATGAAACATTATCCCTCGTTATTCAAGATAACTTTCCTGGTTTCTTTTAGCCTAATTATTACGAAAAGATATGCCATTACAACTTTTACCATATAATCTGAATCGCTTTCAAACAGCTAGGAGCGCCAAATTCCACGAAAGTAAAGAACAATTTTAAAATGATTTGTCGACATTCTTTTCTCTCTCAGGTAGCTTCAATTTTATGACGGACTTTTGGAACTGTTTGATCATTAAGAAAGGGTTAGAAAACAAAAGAGAATGTGAAAAGTTAGACTTTCAGTATCTATTTGTTTTGTCAAAAATTCCCTTTCAAAAATACCAAAAAGCTGTAAATTTCCTTCTGGCACTAAAGGAAAACAGGTGATCCTACATGCGTAATTTTTATGTTTGAGAGGCATTCTTTTTTTAGTAAAATGAAGCAAATTTGATTTAAATATCCATATCCTTATACAACAATAACAATGGCCACGATCAATCTGTTAAACAATGAGAGCTGACGACAGCATGACAATTAAAAAGTAAAAGAATTATCAAAACTGCGAAGGGAACAACGACAATTTCAAAGAAAACTAAAACCCTTAAATTGAAAAACAAATCTTTATAGTTATGAAAACAGTAATAATATAATATCATTATCAATAATAGCTTAAATTAAAAACCGACCGACACATAAAAACCGTAGACTGCGGCTTTGAGAGAAATGAGGTGTGTATTACGTAGTACAAAATAGGAATTAAATGATCTTTTTTCTATTGCAAAGTAGGAGATAGAACCAAAATTGAAATGGAAAGATTTTTCACTTCTTAACTTTGGAAAAAAAATGAAGCAGCAGTACCTTAATATTCTAAATTAACTTAAATTAATTTAAATAGAGCCGAAAATTTAGTTTCCTGGACCCAAAATGAATACCTTCGTAGCATTATGCATTTCGCTGCAGCTAGATCAGACCAAATAATACCGAATTTGATGTAAATTGTAATGGTTTTTCATTATACTTTAAACAGCTTAGTTTAAAATCATACCGGAAGCCATTCAGATCTCTCAAGGAGGAAAAAGATTCAAAAAGTAAAATGTCGAAAACAGCAACAGCTAATGCATAAAATACAACAAACGAACAAAATGTGAAAAATATGGGTAGTAGATTGTAACGAAAAGACGTCACCACGTCCTACACGCCAAATTTAAACAATGGTATGACTGGATGCTTTTCCTGCCCATTCAGACAGCATCAACACTATGTTTAGTATGGCGCGAAAACTCCACGACGCCTGTAATAAATCCAAGTTTATCAAAAAGAGTCAAATCAAAAAAAACTTCGTCAAAAAACTACTCGGATTTCAAATATGGGCCTGAAATAAGCAGCAAACCACAGAAAAAGATATGAATAATGAAATTTGCATCTATAAATTCGAAATCAATAAATTTGCTTAGAAAATTCATTTATTACTAAATATTACCTTGGCGGCCGCCTAGCCCGATAACCGGCATAGATGTACTTCACGATTACACGTGTGCCTCCACGGCCACGTGTACGCGGTGGTCGGTTTGTGGTACTTACACCAGGCCGATTTGTTCGTTTGGCACAAACCTAAAGCTACTCAAGCATTAAATTCCAGGACAAGAAGAGAAACGGACCATCTATTATTTATAATAGATTTATTTATTATTATAATGGATTTATTTATTTATAATGGAAATTTCGAAAAGAAAAAAACTAGCTTTGATTTGCCGGCCTCGGAACAACGATTCGTCAAGAGCTAGAGCAGTTTGAACAGCTTCTTTATCAGCAAATTCAATGTAAGCAAATCTAAAAACATGATTTATTCGACATTTATCTCAAATACCCATACCAAAAAAACCCTATTATAAATAAAAAGTTAAGTGATCAAAACAATCATATTTTTCCGGAAATGATTAAAAAATCTAGTTGCAAAATCATTCCTTTAATCCAACAAGTGGAAGTATAAGGAACCAACTACATATGAAATTTAAGTCACTTCATGTTTTATTGAAACAACGAAGTGTCCCAGAAATTTAGTCTCTTCCCTGTAACACAAGGCTAACTAATATGAAGCACACATACCCCTTTGGATGACCAGTGAATTTATCTGTCAAGATTGTTACTCTATTTACGGAACCGCACCCATGAAAATGAGCTTCCAATTCCTCTGCAGTCGAACAATAATCAACCTGTAATAATGATGGCGTAAGGTCAAATTCCACAAAAAATCGAATTTTCCTAAATTTCGCTTCAGGAATTTAACAATGCAATAACATTCAAAGATTAAAAAAGGAACATGTAAATAAAAATATAAGTCTATACATTTCCCACATAAACAGATCTACTGTCTGCTTCAATTTTATCTTCAATCGACGCCACACTTTGGGAAGTATTACTGCCGGTGCTCATATTCATCTGTTTTTCAACATCACTTTGCATTTGGCGTATTAATTGAGCCTCCTCTTCAATTTCTTTCATGCGATTTGTTAAAGCCTCCATATCCTGAAATACATATGTTAGACACAGCATATGATACTCCGAAACAAGCTTATACAGTAGCACCGCAGAAAATTTTTACGGAAAGCTTATTCTGGCAATTTCTCAATAAGCGACTGTACCGTTGACAGAAATCAACAAGAATAACATTTGACGAGCTGGGTTAGCTTAAAGTTAGTACTTGTATATATATTGACTAAAATATGCGAAGATATCAGCATGGGCAGCATGGGCAATAAAAGAAAACAATAATAAAGCTAATCACTTAGAACTGAAAATAAAGCAATGTTATGCCGTAGAATGCGTAAACAATACCGACGAGACTTTAATCAAACTTACTGGATCTTCACTCATGTGATCCGTGGAAGTAAGTAAATCACTACCATTATCCAAGATATCGTCTTCCTCAATACGAATATCACCTTCATCTGCTGGCGTCCCTGTCGCCATTTTGCTACTGCAGCAAAAAACTAAAATCTTCGAGAAAGTCTAGACAATGCGAAAAGAGAACAAATCTCCCTGTACATACTTCAGTACTTAAACATCAGTACTCGTATCTTGCCTTTGTTTGTTAGCTCACCAAAGCTAAGTGAAGCTAGTAGCTTAACAACTTCTGGCAAATTAACATTCCTACTGGCTCAATTTCGGAAGAGACTGGTGACAGCTCAACAACTCCCACAGTAGATAAAGTTGAGTCACAAACGCGAACTGCGTTAAATCTACCACCACATCCATTACGAAACCTATTCGAACCACCTCTCAATACATTGCAGAAACCCAGTCCCCCGCCATCTCTCCTACCGTCTCCCCCCAGCCGCATCCCACAGCAATGCCCGACAACCGTGTACAGTTTCTTTAAACTACACTAAGATTGTTTTCGTTGTGTGAAAATATCCCATCTACTGCAGCGAAACAATTTTTTATTTGTAAATCCCATCGATCTTCTTGCACTTTGTTTACTTAATCAGTGCTTGTAACTGGTTAAGATCTAATATCGTTTTACCTTTCTTGCTCATTATTCGTCCTGTATAGTGGAGTGGAATTTCCCAGTATGTTTTGAACTTCAATAAGATATCGAGCTGCTGGAATCTAATAGCACCAGTCAACAGATGGGTGAACTTTGGCTGATGCCGTTAAGAAATGGCATGTACGATATTTGACGATGTTACCTTGGCTGTCTCCTCTGGATCATCTGTGACTTTGTCGTGATCTTCTCTGATCCCATCAGTGTCTGTGACTCAAACTGGTCATCCTTTGTTATACTGCACAATCATTTTATTTCTGTTTGCAACTTCATTCCGATCATCCTTACCGAGTAATAATATCGAAGAATACTTCACTCAGTGCCATAAAATGGCTATGTGCAGTGGGCCGCGTAACTTGCAAGCCCTTTTTGTGTGTTGAATTCATATTCTAAATCTTCCGCATTGTTCTACGACCACAGCAACTAATTTGGGTTATGAAAGGTGAGGGGCTTTCTGCTCTCTGATTCGTATTCTACTTCGTAATCTTTTATAATCTTTCATTTACACATTTGCAGATCTTATCAGATTTATAGTGAAGCACTGTATGCTGACACAAGAAATTACATCCTGAAGGCAGTTTTTTTAATTTAAATAATTCTTGTAGAGTTAGGAATGCCAGTCCACTTTACAACCAGTGATTTGTCGAAGAGCATATCAAGAAATAATAATTTGTTTCAGAAAGAATGCGAACTAACGAAAACACTTCACATCAAACAAATAGAAAAGTCGGATGGGATTTTAAGTCGCTAGAAAGGAAGGAGAAAGAGTTGGTATCATTTTTAAATTTTGAATAAATCTTTTTTTTTCTAAATCTTGCTTCCATTTTGCTTCTCAAAGAAGTTCCACATCTTCCTACTTTTCCAGGAGCTGGAAATCAAGAAACTCGCAAAGCCGAGACACAAGGAAGTCTACAGTATTCTTGTTAAGGAACTATTGCAGTTGTGAAAGTGAAAAGCTAAAAAATTGAATATAAGTGCACGTATGAATGCAGTCAGCGCGAAGAATAAGTTCTCATTACTACTTCTGTCATCCGTTGAATTTCATTCAAGTTTACGGCAAACTAACCTTCTAATATGCTCTGAGGTGAGGGATACATTATTTATCTTTGCATAATCCCACATGTTGAGAATGAAGTTTCAGAGCGCTTAACCGGAATAGCTAATAATTAACGAACACCTTAACGACTCTTTTATGACATCCATATATCGCTTCGTAATAATTTTGATTTTCAGAGAAATGTACAGCACAGAATAAATGGCTAGTGCGGTGGGAAAGACAACTAATATGATAAAAATAATGAATAAACAATTAGGGACGAAAAAATTGGTTAAAAATCTCCATGAATTCGTTGAAATCCAAGACGACCTGGTATAACTGATAACGTATGGTCTTCGATATCTTTAATTCTATTAGTCTTTCGAAATAAAACGGTATAGGAGTTAGTGGAGAAAACTAATCATGAACATCGGTAAAGGTGAAGTTCAATAGGTAGAAAAAATTGCTTGTGTTACTAACTATCTGTGTGTTGAGTTGTAGTGGTTTGTGTTCAAACAAGATAATCTGGGAATGATGCGCACAGCACAGATGATAAATTCTTAAAGAATGAGAATGGCTTAAATCAGAAGTTATCTTCTCCCTAAATTATGCTTTAACAACATGGAAACAGTCCACAGAGAACTTGATAACTTTAATGGTTTCTGTTAGTTAAGCTTGTTGGAATACTTGTGATGCGTCCATCTTCCTTCATAACATTTACTTTGCTCATCTGTTTAATTTCCAAATTAAATACTACTTCGTGGATTCTAGCACTTTTCCAAAATTAAAATTTTCCACATTAAATATTCGTGGACTCTAGCACTCTCTAGCACTTTTTCAAATTTTAGATGACATCGTATGCACTTAATCTGATGCTAGAAGAATCGGATGATTACGAGGAATAAGACAAATTATTAGACAAGTGTTGGACGAAATTGGCACAGATTTGAATGCACAGGTAGAAATTGTAATTGTGCTGAACTTCCAGCATAATTAGAGAATGGATATTTTTTTTCCGCAACTGTATAGATTTTTCCCTAAAAGTGTTTCACTTTTCGTGAAATTTAAGCGAAAATGCAATAACATTTTATTAGTTTTATTTAGTTATCAAGGATGCCACAAACCCTTTCGTCAACCGCTCCTGCCACTGAACCATTAGGTGAATTAAGTGATGCAAATCTCGATAAACTATTAAGCGAAATAGATTCTTGAATGTACATAAGTTTTTTAGAAGGAATCCCGTATTTTTTTGCGTGTTTGCATCTCTGCTTCATTTTTATGCACAAAAATGGAATGGTCATGTCATTTCCATATCAGTAATTACAATAACTTCGACTGAAATATTGATTTACTGCTCCTAATCACTTGACATTTATCGGTATTTTGTTTTTTCTTTTATCATTGTGAATGCATTCATATATATCCGGTGATAAAATTTCAGTAACCGTCAGTTTTATATTCAAATTCGTGGAACTTAAAAAGGTTGGTTATTACGCAGTGCGATGTTGGGTTGCAAATTGGAACTGCACAACTTTTAATATTTCATATTCAGAATATTCGAATTGAATACAGCAGACTGTCAGGACAATCGCTCAGATTGTTGGCATTATGAACTTTGCTAGATATCAGTAATCTTTGACCGTTAACCGGATTTGGAAATCCCTTTCTGCTAATGTTTCACGATTAACTGAAATAGGTATGCAGCAGTAGGCTTTGAAGTTTCATTTCGAGATAATCGGGATTCGTTTACGTTTGCTAGAGCGATAATTCATTACAGAGAAAGTGGAGAAGTAAATCAATCTCTTAATTTCATGTCGGGCTAATCGTTGCTCCCCAAGCCATAAGTCATTCCCTTAATGACTCCTTTCACTAGCCAACTTATAGTCCTATTTCAATTTCCCCGCTTCAAAGGACACTTGCTTCAGCTCTTTAGACTCTCCAAATTCTCAGAGTTCTTATCATAGTCGATAATAATGGATATGTAAGGGCAATAGAAGTATATGCGGCGTGATGCAAAACGTTAAGATATGTGAGTGAATGAGTTTCAGGACGGAAGCTGGGAGGCAGCGGATGATCAGTGTCACAATGTATCATGGCAAAAATTAAGTGTTTTGGGATTTGACGAGCTTAAGTAAACGATGTCAAATAAATATGAATTTTGTGAGGACGAGTTACAGTATAATCTCTCGTGTTACGCATAGGTTGAAAGATGGTGTAGAAGATAAAGAAACGCCGAAACCTTTGTTGATACAACTACTTCGAAGGCTAAGTATGAGGAGTAGCGGAGGAACAACGAAAGCCGGATGATGAATGAAAAGAACGGGGAAAGATTATAAAATCCAGGAAGATATTCCCTGCAAACTGAATGATGAAGCCAGTGCTCTCGAAAGGCAATCGCAAAAACTGGAAAGGATTCATTGAAGCAAAGGACGGTTTGTGTCGTGAAATAGTAAAAACTGGCAGATAATTTATTTGTCGAGCTGAATGGTTGGGTAATCAAACACCAATCAAATCTACCCAAA